TACAAAAATTTGTGTCACAAGACTTTTTTTTTTTGGTATGCCCATATTACAATGGAAAACTTTATTTTGTAGTTAGAAGATTGTAAAAGTAATTTTTGATGTTCTATTTTCCATTCAATATGATTTCTTCTTTGTTGTCTTTTGTATTCTGTAAATTACTTTTAACATTTTTGTAATTTTGTTCTTATTTCGTTTTTTGAAAAGTTTTCCGAAAATTATGAACTTATTACCATGAGGTTAAAAAACGTAATTTAATTATGAAAATTTATTAAACTATTGGCAAAAAGGCTTGGATTAAATGAAATTATTTTACATTTGTGATTTTATTGTCACAAAATATAGATCGAATAGTAAGCAATGCTCTTGGATTCAAATGCAATTATTATTGCTAATATTTCTAATTTAAAATTTATTTTATATCTTTTTGAAAAACACTTTCTAATTTAGTAGTTTTTTATAAATACGTAAATGTTATATAAATAAAAAATTTAATAAAAAATTTTAAAAATTCCCATTAATGTTCGTTAATATTACAATTGGTTTAATTTATACTTAACTGCTGGCATTGAGCAGGAGGATCTCAGTATTGGGGTTTTGACAGGGTATACTATTCATTAGGAAAGGTAGCTCAGAATGGGATAAGATTGGAATATTTGCCGGGGATACCAAGATATCGGGACGATAGAGGATATGTATCACATATTCTGTGAATGGATTTGTATCACGTACGGCTTCGGAGAATATCGATTCGACGAATAGCTTTGGACGCCTGTGAGCTATCTGCTAAACTTTTCCAAGGGATTTCAATGCAATTTAACGGGGAGGAGTGTGTTGTAGAGAGATGGATTTTCTATTAGTCTAGGTTGCAGCTTTGTCTAACTAACTAACATATACTAATTATTTTGCTAATATTTCTAATATGGGTGTCAGCGGTTTTTGAAATGCAAAAATCTTTATTTTTTCAAATGTATTTGCTTATCGTTTGTTTTTCCGTTCTAAACTGAAATGACTAATGAAAGGATTGACTCATGAAAAGGAACAAATGAAAGGCTCTGGACTAATGAAAGGATTGAAATCGACATCAAATTTTCTTAGAGTCCTTGTACCTCGAATATTATTAAGTTTTGAAGCCTTATTCTGAATAAATATTTTACTCATTTTTCATTCTCTAAACAAGAATAAAATATTACGCACCATATTATACTGAATCATCCTGTGCATTTATTTATTCATTGTACATTAATTTTATTTATTAGAGCAGCCTACATAATAGTCGCAACTCCATGTAGTTATTATTCAAATTTTTAATTTAAATTCATAATACCATTCCAAAAAAAATTTATATCAAAATTTTATGTCATTCTTTATTAAATTTACTAAAAAAAAACACAAACACAAAAACAACACATAAAAGAAATTGCAAGTAAAAAATTACAAAACAAAAAAAAAGAAAAAATTGAAAACTTTTACTTAAGAAAAAGCAAAAGTTTTCCCTCAAACCCTTCGAATAAATATGAACATTAAGCAGGAGCAAGAACAGAAACAGAAAAAAAAAACTTGTTTTTATTTGTCCAAAAGTTAATTCCTTTTTACTAGATCCTTGATTTTTGTATTTTACAAGAATTGTGTGTAAAAAAAAAAGTTCATTCTTTTCTACAATTTTTTTTTCTCCATTTTCTTGCATTTTTCCTAACTTTTTATTCTTTTATTACACTATAGTGGCTCACTTTCTTGTTTAATATGAAAGTAATTTGAGTTTGAGATGAAAAAATAAAAAACCAAAGAAAAAATTGTTGTTTGTTCACCATTTATAATTGAGCTATCTATTGTTGTTATTTATTTATTTTATGTATGTGTGTGTATTGAAAATAATACATTTTAATATACTTACACACATACAACATGCAAGTTCAATATAATATAGAAAAGCCCCTTATTGGGCAATATATGAAAAAAAACTTTAATTTTTTTTTATCAATAAAATTGTCGAATCAATTTGATCCATTATAGTAAAAAAAAAAAAAAAAAAGAAAAAGAAGAGGAAAAAATTATTTTCAATATTTTTTTTGTTTTACAAAACTTTTACTATACAAAACATTAACTAAAATAAAGTTGTTTTTTATATTGTATGTTTGTTTGAACTTTTATAATATGTGTATGTAAAATTTGTATGCACAATGTGTATTTGTAATTATGTATGTATAGAGTTTTTAAGAGGAAAAGTTGTAACAATGATTTTCTTATTGTATCTCTATATGATTATTTTGTATCATTTATTATTGGCCGTCTATAAAGCATACTATACAATATCCTGTATACAAAAGTAATGAAAAGTTTCAAAGTAAAGATTGATTCAATTTTAAACTTAATAACCATTATGCGTTAAGAGCAATAACATGTAAGAGCTAGAAATGCCATAATACACATGTATACATATGTATAATTATCATATATTAGTATTTATGTATACACAATTCAGGTTGCCAAAAAAAATTTTAATTTAATTAAATAATATTTAAATTTTAAGTACAAACAAAAATTATACAAAAAATTTAATTAACAACTTATAAGTTTTATATCAAATTCAAAACACAAATCTTGAATTTTAAAGTAGTCTAGCATTACTACAGAATATAATGAACACTATTTTCACTTAGGTTGAAACTTATTAAAATTATACTGTAATTGATAGCTGTAAAATCTTAACTGATCGAAATATATAAATTGCTTGCAAGAAGACAGGGGCGGATTTCGGCTTTAACAAATCAAACTAGGAGGCAATGTTCAAAATTTTTAAACTCGAAAATTAGGTTTTTAATTTTTACAATTCATTTTTATTTTTATTTAGCAGAAACGTCTTTGGTGAAACGTATCCAAATTATGCCCAATCTTTGATGGTCAGCAAATGTGGATGAGCGTTCACGTGCATGCATTTTAAAATTCGCACAGTATTGTATTTCTTCCACAAGTTCGTACATGTGCTTATTATAACAATTTTTTTTATTATTAGTAGGTCTTGGAAATTGAAATTGTACATCGCGTATTTAGATTTTTTTCTTTTCTCTATTCTTGTATTTTTGTTCTTCTTTTTCATATTTTTGCTTCTTTTGTTTTTTGGTTTCTTCGTTAAAAATTAAGTTTTTGAATCAATTGTTTAATTATAATTGATTTTGTTGTTACCGACAACTAAATCTAACTACATAACATCATTATGCCTTAAAACCCACCGTAAAATAGGCCCAAATCTACAGTATTAACTTTAATTTTGGGTTCGCTTTAACCTTATACCTTAGTCCGTCTCTGCAAATAGAATTGAAAATGTTTTTTAAACTCAAGTATAATTCATTATAATGCAAATTAACCTTTTTTTTTTTATGTTATGGGTTCAGCTAATAAAAAGTCAATATTTTACGCAACTTAGTTTTACATTTTAATTGAAAACAAAAATTAGGATAATTGGAAAACAATATGTTTCTCTTTTTTCTGTCACATTATTATAAATTTTAATGCAAATGTGTCCTAAATCTTTCAGGTTAAGACTACTATAATCCTTAACCAGCCTCACAACTGTTTCTTAACTGCCTATTTAAATATAATCTTAAAAGCGTAGCTATGTCTAATACATATACATATATATGTACGTCCAAAAATTCATAAAAACTTAGAAACAAATGAAGAGCAGATCTTAAAAAATACTGCAATGTTTCTTATTAAATTACTTGGAAAAAATTGTTGCATCCTTGAACAATAACTAAATAATTTAATTACAAATAACAAACACACACCCACCGTAAATTCACTTAATTTCGATCCGGAATTCAGTGTTAAACGACCCGAATGATTTAATTAAATAATTAACTATCACTTTTAATTAGTTTTAAAATAAATTTTGGCAAATTCTCTACTTACCTGTACCTCCATGCATACATACTTAAATATAGAACCAAAAATAAGTGAGTACTTTCAATTTATATGAAATCAATAATATTATCAAATTATCTAAAACAATTTTCTTATTCTTTCTTAATTTATTTTTAAAGAAATTTTCTCTTTCAAACTTATTTTCGTAAAAACTTTTAACTTTTTGGAAAATTCTGGACCATCTGCTTTTTCTTTTGTTGTTTTTCTTATTTTTTTACTGTGATTATTACTTTACTCATATTTATTTATAACATAGAATAATCATTAAAAGTTCTACATTAAATAATATACATACATAGGTACAATACATATAAAAATCCGATTACAGATTACTTTTTTGTGTCACATTCAAAGAAAGTAGAACTTTTCTTCAAAAAAAAAAAAGTTTTAATCTTTCATTTTTTACTTAAAATGTTTGATGGCTGCTTTGGGGAAAATTCATCATTTATATATTATATAATAACGAAAAAGGAAAATGATTTTTTTAAGAAAATTTTATTTCGTAATATTAGGAGTCTAATTCTTAAGAGCTTTAGGACAATAATTTAATTTTTTAATTTTTTAACTCTAAAAATTAACTGGAAATTTGTACACGTATATAAATTTGTAAATTTTCAATTTTATTGTTATAATGGTGGATTGTAACAATAAAAATTTTGGAATAAAAGAATAATTTACAAAAATTTTGAAAGTCAATTAAATAATCAGGCGACAAATAGTGTCTGAGTTGAAGCAAATTTAAGCATTTAATTTTAGATATTTTGGGATCTCGCACAACAAGAAATACAATTTTTTGTGCATAGTCGTGTAAATTTATTGTGAATTGTAAACAGTCTGAAATTCTACAAAGAAATACCAATATAAGAGGTAGTTATAGTTTTTCCAGAAAATTATGTGGATTCTTTTTTATAAAATCTTTAACGTGAAAAATCCTTGAAATTTTATTATTTTTTAAAAGCATAATTCCAGCTTAATTTAAGATTTTTGCCTAAACACATTAGGAATATTTTAATATAAAAAAAAAAAACAATTTAAAATAAATATAAAATCTATTTAATTTTTTTTTTTTGTATTTTCAGGTAAGCTAACATGGTTCCATTGTACACTGTTCAAAATAGCTATGTGGTAAAAAAATTTCTTTTAAATTTTTCATAACATATTTTTAAAAAAATCTGTGATATTTTGATTGACCGGGAGAGTTAGTGCTGCGATAAAAACTAAAATCATTATTTTAGTTTTAAAATTAGCTCAATTCTGTATCTTATCAAATTGCAATGTTAAATGCAGAAAAATTAGATATAAAGTTTTTCACCAAAATAACAGTTTTAAATTCGTACAAATTGTAAAAATTATACGCGTACATATACATATATATAGGTTATGGTAGGCTCGTCACCTACCTAGTAAACTAAATGACGTAAGAAACTGGTGTTCACGGTTATCTACAATTCGTGCACCATCCCAGGAGCGAAGTAAGAATAAAAAACAATATACATATATATGTATATATATATAGGTATTTTATTATAGATATGACTATCGTAAGTTCTGTATCCATTGTACGTCATAAAAATGCTCATAAATTATTATAATAAAATAAGTATAACAAACAAAAATCATTAAAACTAAGATAACATTCACACACTAAAAAATGTTTAAGAAAACACTTTTATACCTTCTGTTGACATTCGCTTACCCCGGTAATTTTTTCAAACATAACACTTTAATTTTAATAAAAATCTCAAATTTTATCTCTCAAATTTCATTGCTCTCAGAAAAACAACGTGACAGATAGTTTAAATTATAGAACTGACTAAAGTAGAAAATCTAAATGATTATGCAAAATTTATTTCGTTATTTTTTTTTTTTCAAAAAAATAGAATCAAATTGTAATAATAAATGGAAAACAGAAAGCTGTCGCAAATTTCTTCAAAATCTTGTAGAACAGTTAATAATACCTGAAATAATCAAACGTATAACAAACACTAACAGTGAAATCATTAAAAATTGTGTTTCTAGAAGAAGGAATAGAAAGTAAGATGTGATACAAATTAAATTCGCAAATAGAATTACCAAATAAATTCATTGAGTCAGATAGTGGTGGATCTAATAGAATTCGACGTAAATTACTATATCTATGCACAGAACGTGATTAAATACTATTTATGCCGAGAAAGTCATTCTACCACGAAAAATTACGAAACATGTCAGAAATCTTTTTACTGTCAGCATTCAGATAAAATCCCGTATTGCTACAGGATGCTTTACACAAAAAAATTTAATATATAACTATATTTGTTCGGTGTACGAAATAAGTATACCGATTTGGGTTTAATAAATTAAAAGAAGTCAATTTCTGTTAAAATTTTTATTTTTTACACTAGAATCTAAAGAATAGAATCTCAATATTAAAAAATTAATTCAAATTTCAAATATTTTTTTCTTCTTGAATTTTACCATACGTCGCGACATAAAATTATGTACAAACACTTATTTGACTTTCTTCTTCATGCCGCTTCTTTACATTTATATAAATAATTATTTTTCTTAAAATTATATACAAAATATACTACTTATATTTATTTTACTTTCATCTTCATTAAATTAGCTTTTCTTTTTACAAAAAAAGTCTACAAGAAGACTAAAACAAAAAAAACAATAATAATTTTGAATATTATAAGGATTCTTTCTGAAAAAGAAAAAAATTATATAAAAATATAAAATAAAAACCAAAAATTTAATTACATTTCAAAGATAATTATTTTTTTTCTGTTATACTTTACAAAATTTTTATTTATTTTTAAATTAAAATACCATTAATTATTTTTTATAATTCATAAAGAGACAAAAGTCTCTGTAAACCTCATGAATTTTAAATGTCTTATGAGACTCTATTTAACAATAAATAAGTACTATAAGTATATTATGTATATATATATATACTTACAACAATAAAAATAATGAAAAAAATACAAAAGAGAAATTTTAATTTGACTCTTTTATGTGCACACTTTTATCATCACTTAAACAGGGGCCAGCCTTTTATGTTTTTTTGTTTTGTTTTAGTTTAATAAGATGGATGCTCAATTACATAATGACGAGACTTCACATTGAATAATTTTTATTTAATTTATGCTTCAAAGAATTTAAGGTCTAGCTTTCATACTCCATTCATTTTTTAATAATCTTTTTTGCTTTTACTTTTTCTTATTTTTTTCAAAATTTATTAAATAAATAAGAACAAATTGTTTTTAAAACAGTGAAAAAAAATAATCAGTATTTTTCAAATTTTTAAAATTAAACTCTATTTATCTCACAGTAAATTTAATTTTTTTTAAAAAATAATGGGAAAATAGTGGAGCGTAAACTCCATGATATGAGCACAAAGTACTTTTAAATTTATGACGGAAAGCAAAAGGATTAATTTATATCCAATCTTTCATATTTTTTTAAAGAATGGTGCATAAATTATTGTGTAAACCAAAATAATTACCAAATACATTAATGAACAATTTGGACAGCGTGTACCTTGAATAGTAGTCTTAATTTTTGAAATTTAAAGAACATTTCAATTGAAATTAGGAACGCTATACGATAAATGCAACACTCCTGTTCTCTCAATTTTTACCAAATAAAATTAGATAAAATTTAAATTTTGCGAACATTTTTACTTCCGGCATAATATAATATACTAAAATAACCCAAGCTAAAATATTCCAAAATTGCATACAATTAGGCGAAATTTTAATTAATAACAAAAAAAATGACACCTACAACAAAGCTATTTTAAATTTGTAAAATCATTTAAAACATTATTCAGCGATTTTTAAAAAATTTTCAAAAATCAAAAAAATTTAAGTTTGAGAAGAACATTTTTTTAGCTATAACATTTTAATTTCTGTTTGTCTGGCTAAAAATTTTGATTAATTCATTTTTTATTTTTTTTTTTTATTTTTTCATTTACAATATGCAAGAAGTTTTTATCAAAGGCAATTTTTATTTCATTAATTTTTGTTGAAGCTAGGCAACAAGTTGCTTTTTCGTCAGTAAAAAAAAATTTACATTATATACAAACACTAATACAAATTTTATATTATATATCGTCATAGGTATATACACATAAGCCTCTTGAAATTGAAAACAATTTTAATTTTAACATTTTTAGACTTTTGTTTATCGTTTTACTTGTAATTTTTGTGTGTGTGTTTTTTTTTTTTGTTTTATTTTTGTAATAAACAAATAAACAATATTATAAAAGGATTTTTTGTTTCCGATTCTTGCTAATTTTTTGTTTAAATGCTATTTGAAGAGACTTTTTAGAATTCATTTTGTATTAGCACAGTAAATAAAATAAAAGCAAAAAAAAAATAGTAAATATTTTCAAGTAAATAAATTTTTTTTCCTATTTTGAAAACGTTATACTAAATGTACTGTCGTAATATTTGCTTTTGTAAATACACAAAGTACGAGTATAACATCAAAGTTTATTTATATTAAAAATTTTTTTGTTTGTCTCATATTGTCATTTGAAATATTTGTGGTATATATAGAAAATGCATTTTTCTTAACTGATGTTTTCTACAGATACTCCAAATTTTTTACTTTATTTCTATTTAATTTTAAAATATAACAAAGTAGCAAATATATTAAAAGCCCGCATATGCTGGTCAAATTATTCAGTTTTTGATTTTTAAAATTTTACTACTAAGTTCAACTACTACATGTCTTTTTGGTTAGAGGAATGGATTGGGAAAGGTTATGCAAATTTTTTTACAAAATTTTCATTTCTATAATTGCCTTAGTTACCGTAACATTTATCGTTGTTATAAAAGCACCAAAAAACATTAATATTTTCGTTTCATCAATAAAAGGAAAAATAAATTTAATACAGATCCGCTAATTGCCCTCATATTTTCATATTACGAGATAATTTTGACATAAATATAATTTTTTTTATCAAACAAAAGATGTGGTTTAAAAGCACAAGTATTGTGCACAAAACCAAGAAAATTAAAAGAACAAAAACAAATTAAATTATAAATATTAAATTTATAAAAATGGAATAAGTTGGCAATACTATTGTTCTTATATTTTTATTAACATGCTGTCACATACCGGCCGAAGGAATTTAATGACCCCTACATTTCTAAGTCCCTATATGCGTCTCTGGTTCGCTCCAGTCTAAAATATATCATACAAGTTTGATCGCCTTTTTAAGATATTCATATTCAATCCTATTAGATTGAGTTGATTCAAAAAAAATTTTTATAAATTGCGCTTCATCATCTTCCTTGGAAAGATCCTATTATTTTTCCTCATTATGATAACAGGCTCAAATTAATTGACCTACCCACTTTAAAAAAAGGATGTGATTTCGCGAACGCGATATTAATATTTCAGTTTATGAAATCTAATTTGATCTCTTCTGATTTTTGAGACTCTTCTGATTTTGATCGTTAACAAATCTAACGTAAGGTCTCGTATTCTTAATTTTTTTGTATTTCCGTTTCACGGAACTAATTATGAACCCGTTAGTAGAATGTTGAATCTGTGTAATAAATTCCAAAATATAATTGATTTCACTTATAACATTATGAACATTCACATATAATTGACTCACAAAGGACACAATAAAAAAGCCTTTATTTGATTATAGTTAATTTATTCATTTCTAAAGGTGATGCTAATTTTAAGTAATAATAAATGAATTGTAATTTTAGAACACCTGGAATCTTCTATTTAATTTAACACAGTTTTTAGGTTAATAATTTAGTCAAAATTTGTAAATTGATTCAATATATTTTAATACGCTTGAGCTAAGCATGTAAAATAAAAATAAAACTTTAAAAACTTTTAATGAAAAAACACAATATTAGAACATACGATTGCTTGAAATTAAATTTCAATAAAGAATTTAATTCATTCCAATAAAATAAATTCAGAGTGAACTTTTAAAACTTCTTGTATTTGCTAATATAAAATACATTAAGGTCACAAAATCAATATTTAAGAAAAAACCAAAACAAAAGGAACATAAAAATTAAATTGATTTCAATGAAAATTTTAAATTTTGTTTTTTTTTGTTAAAGTACATAATGTGATTTTAATCCAAAAGATCCAAATTTTTTATTAAAGTATAAATTCTTATTTATTGTGTTTCAACTTTATTTGT